TGTGCAGGGGTTACCTGAGGATGGCGGGCCCACAGTAGGATGGATGGATCTTGGCACAGACGTCCTCTAGCTGCAGCCGCTCACCAGGGCTGAGGTCGTAGGTGGGCGGGGATGTGCGGGCCAGCCAGCTGTAGTCCACTCCCGTGCAGATCTTCCTGACCGCACTGCTGCGCTCCCTCTGCTGCCTCTCCGCCTCTCGCATCTGCCCTGCCAGCTCCATCATGAGCGTCTCCAGCACCATCTCAGCTGGGCTCCGGGATGACAGCCGTGGTGGGGCCTCGATCCACCGGAGCCACGGGAGGAGGGACATGGCCCCCCCAGGCCCTGCTGAGACAGGGCAGAGTGTGTGTGTCTTCCTTGGACCCTTCTGTCAGTTAGGCTGGGGAGAGTAAGGGGAAGGGAGGAGAGCTGGGACCCCAGTGAGAAGACCTGCTCCGTCCTCACAGCTGGGTGGCCTCAGGTAAGTTGCTCAACCTCTCTGAGCAATCATTTCGAATTCTGTAAGACAAGATAGGGCTGTTGTAAGAACCAGTTGTGAATAAACTTGGGACACACCACATAAAAATAAGATACTCTCATGGTTATAACAATCCCTAATGCATCTAAATGATTGAGAGAAACTTCCCCCCTGAATCCCTGCTAACTCCAAACAAAGAAGGAAGCCAACTGTGTATGGCTGAGCACAATCTTATCCCTATGACGTAAGGGAAAAACAATACACACACACACACACACACACACACACACAGTACAGATACCTACATCCTATGTTAATAGGAAAATACCCTAAGTTTCTAAATGCCCCCAGCCTATTGCTGAAGGGAGCTTAGAACTGTAGAGGGTTGACATCATCCTGCAAAAGACACAACTTACCCACCATTCATTCATTCATTTATTTATCCCTCATTCATTCATCCAGAAGCATTAATCAACATCTGTGGAGGAACACAAATGGGAAACCATGCCAGGGGCCCTGCCCAGTAGACATAGGATATGATAAGTAAAAACCAGAACATCA